TCTGTCTTCTTTATCTCAATCCTGATGCATGGTTATGTGCTGCTGAAATAGCTAATAACAAAAAATAAATTCTAAACAGCCTGAATAAAATGAAATAATAATAAAAAGTTTTAGGAAGAATTTTTAGCAAAGCTTACATGTTCACTTGGATGTGTTGTTAATGTGGATATACTTTCCTCCCAGTGGTGGAGAAAAAGAACTCCAGAGCCGTGTAGACAGGGCCTCAGGTTGACTGTGGCTCCACCTTCAGACTGAAATTTTAAAAGTTTGAGCCCCAGTTTTGCCACTTGTTAAAGTGTTCATGAGCACTTCAGCAGGTTTTTCCTTGATATACTTACCATAATGTAAATCTCTTTGGAAAGAAAGGCTTCTGAGAATATCCAAAACGAAACTATTCATTGCGAACACACACAACATATAAATTTAATCTAATATCAACCTGTGCATTTAGCCAGTGTTTATAATATTCAGTTACCTGGGTGTGTGTCTGCTTGAAGTTCTCGATCTCTGTGCATATTTCTCTTTTTTCATTCCTCTTTGAAGCGTCAATTACATAATTAGATGAGTTATGAAGTTCCTTTTCTTTCTTTATTCCCTCCCATCTCAATGAGATCAACACACCTTAATTAATGAATCTGGAGCATTTTGACAAGATTTGCAGGACTTCTCTGACCCTGGGGGCCTGGCGTGTGTTAAACAGTGGTCGACAATAGAGTGAGATGAACAGGGCTAATGTTATCTGTGTGTGTTCCTAGACTGCACCGAAGGTTTTCTTTGTTTTTGCTCAAACAAAACTGCTCAGGGGGGTCACAGTTTCTGAACACCAGCAGCTCAGGGGCCGGTGGACATCCAGGTCTCAGTCTCATTGAGTCACGAGGACTCATTTTCAAGAGAGACCTGTTTTAAACAAAAAACGTCACTATGTAAATAAAGCATTACAATGATCTGTTCCCTTTTAAATTTAAACACTTTCTAAATGTGTTGGTTTTATTACATTGAATCATAAATGCAATAAACAGCACCCAACACCCAAACCCAGAACCCCACCCAAAAAACAAAAAAACCTCATTGGTGGGCCGGACTGAGACCTGCTGGCTGAAAGTGGCCCGCGGGCCGCCAGCTGAACAGCCTTGCTTTAGAGGCTGTTTGCATCATGTCGGAGGGATTATGTGCGTTCCCTGGACCTGATTCTGTCTTTGAACGAGTCTTTGTGTGCACCGGGTCCCTGCCAGGCTGCGAGCTCCCTTGCAGCCTCGCACCCCGTCAGTGTGTTTGTAAAAGAATTAACTTTCAGCTGAACAGGGAAAAACTCTTCCGCCCTTCAGTCCCAACAGGCTGCAGCACAGGAGCACATTGGATTCAGTCCGTCCCACTTGTCCTGTCTTTTTTGTTGCTCAGAGAATCTTGGACACCATCGACTGCAGCCATGAGACAACATTGATCTGATTCAGGAGACTGCAGATGTTTGAACACTACAGAGGTCCAGACGCCTTAAATGTTAATGATCTCCACCTATCAGTCGTGCATAGCCAGCTCAAGAAGGGCAGTTCTATGTTGAACTGTTGGCTCTTTTTCTTTTTTTTTCCTGCTCGTCTTTGCATTTTGATCCATTTGTCCCTATAAAATAAAACAGCATGTTTGATTTTGTAATAATTACCTTTTAATCCTTGGTGCATAATGACTTTTATTTTAAAGTTTTCTCAAAACATGAGGTGAATTTCCAGTGACACTCAACCCTTTGACCGTCAAATTTACCTTACCACTTTTCACAAACTAAAATTAAACAATCCGAGCAGTTTTTGCCACCTACGTTTAAAGTGACGCAAAACAATAATTTGATTGATTGACAATTTTTAAGCATATAAAGACCAAATTTTACCAAAACAAAAATGCTAATGTATTTATTTAACCATTGTATTCCAGATTAATTTCAGATTATTCTCAGTGTTCAAACAGTGCATTTAAATTTAAAAGTAATTTAAGAGGAAATGTTTAATTTGTTTTGAATGTAGTACCTTTATTCAACCAACGGATGGCAGTAAAGACTGTTTGAACCGAAGGATGGATAGTGAGGGAGAGAGCAGCGTGTCTCTTTAAGAAAAATGGGAGGGAGGCCCCTTGACGTGACATGGGCTGTCTCTCCTTCTGGTTTTTCAGTTCTCAAAATGGCCGATGCTCGGTGTGGTTTGAGCTCTTTAGCATAGCATTTGTCACACAAAGCTTTTAATAAAAAAATTAGTTAAGTTCTCAGCTTCTTTTTGCAGAGAAAAACAACTTTTTACACAAAGGCACGGGTTTCAATCGTGAATTTTGGAGTTTCGACAAGGAGGTTTTTTCCCCCGAGGTCGGCCTGTTAGCTTAGCTTCTCAATTTAGCTGCTTTTAACGATCCAGAAACACAATTTTGGACGGTTAAAACAGATTTTAAAGAGAAAAAAGAAAGGGAGGAGTCAGTGAAGAGCACTGGAGTTGATCTTTTTGTCATCCAGTGTCTTCAGTAGAAAGAGAGAGACACGAAGAAACGATAAAGCCGATAAATGAAAATGAGGTTAATAATTTTCATTTATCATGCGATTAATTGATTTATCGTTTATCGCGACAGGCCAATTCAAACGTAATCATGACCTGGAACTAAATTACTAGAAAACATGTTCTATCCGTGCTGATTTGGAGGTCGTACCGCTCACAGGAAGTCTTTCAAACATGGTTTTGTTATTTAGCTTTATCATGCTCTTCTTAAAGGAAGATTTTACAAAACAGGATTAAAAACTAATGAATATCAGGAAAACATAACCAGGCATAAAAAAAAACAATCTATCCTTTAAAGTGGCCTTAATAGGCAGTTTTTCCCGTTAATTAAAAGATTTTCTTTGAATCTTTTCTGATTTTTCACCCAGTTTTTTGCCAAGTGCCGGATCATGACAGCTGTACAGTAAAGTGTAGCTTGAAACAAAGAAAGAGAACAGATGGAGGACAGAAAAATGTGTCAGGCCTAAAATATCTGCAGCAAATGAACCGTATAGACCTCGTTAAACACCAACACATGCAATTATTATTATTATTATTATTAACCTTTATTTAACCAGGCAAATCCCACTGAGATTACAGATCTCTTTTGCAAGGGAGGCCTGGGCCTGAAGGCAGCCTAACATGCATGTTTTTAGTATGTCGGAGGAAACCGGAGTACCCGGAGAAAATCCACGAAAGCACAAGAATAAAACCACACAGAAAGACCCCAGGTCCAACCGGGGATTGAACCAAGGACCTTCTTCCTGTGAGGCAGCAGTGCTAACCACTGATCCATCGTGCTGCCAGAAACCTTGCAAGATGTGCAGCGCAACATGAGTTTAATAACTACATGTAAAACCTCTAACTAGAAACAGGATTTATTTAGAGGAAAACACCTTTTAAAAGATGAGTTTAAACATGCAGTTAATAAAGTTGGGAACAAGATGTTTTTCTTTATTAGTGAAACTGATGTACAGGAAATAAACAGCCTTTTTAATTTGAAATATAAGTTTATATTTTTAAGCTCCTATAAAGCAACATTTTTAGTCAAAGCAACTATTTTATTGATTTGACCATCATTTTAAAAATCACATTTGTGGATTTAAGAACAGCATTTTCTCTCTGTAAGATGTAATAAAGCACATGTGGAATTATTAGCCCTTTTGTCTTGAAATACAACCTTCAGTAAAAAGCACTTTGTATCCAAAGTCTGGGAACAAAAACATGATTCATTGTCGATTGACCTATAAACGTTAACTAAGACTTCCTTCTGTGTCAGTCATAATGTTTGAGTAACAGGTGTCCTGAAGTGAGGGGACAGGAGGTTTGCTGAACCGGTCCAGTTCCTGCTCATTTTCAGGAGATGACGCCGTGCTTTCTGCCCGTCTGGATGAAAGCGTCCACACACCGATCGATGTCCTCGTCTGTGTGCGCAGCCGAGATCTGAACACGAATTCTGGCTTTGCCCTTTGGTACCACTGGGTATGAGAATCCAATCACGTAGATTCCTTTAAAAGGGAGGGGGGTGAAAATTAACTGGAAAATCTTCCATGTAAGGCTGACTTTGCATAGACAGAAGCACAACAATAAAACTTGTTCTGATGCTGCGTCTCACCGAGCTTCAGCATATCGTCGGCCATCAGCGAGGCGAGCCGCGCGTCGCCGAGCATCACGGGACAGATGGGGTGAGCCGAGCCTGCGATGGTGAAGCCCGCCAGCGTCATCTTGTTACGGAATCTGGTTGAAAAGCAACAAAAACTCTTACAGCAGCTATCACACACCTGTTGAGTGGAAACAAACAGCACCGCTGAGAACAGGTTAGCATATCTTTGCTCGCTCGGCTTCTTTTAAAGCGACAGTCCAGCATTTTTACGCGGAGTTCTGTGGTAACGTTACAAACGGTTAATATCTTACCTGTTGTAGATAGCTCTTTGAACAATTTCCGTTCAGAGAAAGAGTTTAGTCTTCACAGGCCTGTTAAGCTAAAGGCTAGTCTGAGTGGAACCAAAACCAAAGTGGAGTGCGGCTGCCTTAAAGGAGCTCCAAATCTCACCAATTTCATCGAAATTCAGGCAAATATTATTTTATAAATCAGATTAGATTAAATAAAACTTTACTGATCCTTTGGGAACATTAAAATATTAAAGAAAAATTAACTGGATCACTGGATCACCAGTGACCTGAAGGAACAAATATTTAATGTTGGATCATTTACTTCAACAAATAAATGACCACTTATATTATTTTGTCTTATCTGTTAAACTGGGTTCTCTTTATCTACTTGTAGGACTTGTGTGAACATCTGATGATGTTTGAGATCATATTCATGTAGAAATATAGGAACTTCCACAGACTTCACAAACTTCCAAGCACCACGGTAGTTTAAAGAGTCATCTTCAACAGGTAAGATATTAACTGTTCCACAACTTTAAACAAAATGACCACTTCAAACGATTTGAACAATCAGATAGCCCCACACCTTCTTAGCTCAAACTCACCTCATGGTTTTAGCCGCCATGCTCTGTGCGATGTCATTAGAGGCGAGCAGCAGCTCCACAGCCCGGGTGGCGCAGCCCACCACGGCAGGGGGGAGGGCGTTGGAGAACAGGTAGGGCCGCGAGCGCTGCCTCAGCAGCTCGATGAGTGGCTTTGGACCAACCGTGTAGCCACCTGAAAGAAATATTTGGTGAAGATATGGAAACGTATCATGATGTTTCAAGTTGATAGATTTTCACCTCATCAAGGAACAAAGCCACGGGGTTTCTGAAACTTCACATGTTGGATAATAAGGTTCTGGATCGGTGTCAACCTTTATATGTCAATGATTTGTCACAAAACAAAAGCTGAGTGGAAAAGACTGAATAATTTGTGCATTTTCTCCAATTCTCACACAGGCTCAAATATATACAGCAGTCCCTCGATACCTCGCGGTTCGATGTTCACGGACGCGCTCTATCGCAGTTTTTCAAAATAAGATTGGGCATGACACAAAATTGGCTGAATGATGGATGAGCCGCATGACTGGCATGGACGTTTTATTTAAAATAAATTACTTTAAATTATTTATCACCTGTGTGCAGTCCAAGCTGCAGCTGATCGCAGCTCGGCAATGGAGAAGTGGGCGTGGCCAAGAGCACTGACAGAGAGCAGCTGTGGCAGAGAGCTGAAATCATGACATCCTGTGCTCTTTTAGAGCATTTAGAAATATTGTTTAGAATATTGCAAGAGCATGGGAAAGGTTTGAAAAGTATATATGTATATATATATATATAAATAAAGGCTGTTCACGTTAACTCGTGATTATTGCATTAACGAAGCAAATGAATAGCGCCAACAATCCGGCCGGGGGCTGGCTTTCCAGCTTGAGAGCGAGACAGGGTCCGCCTCAACAAACACATTGAAGCTCGCGTCGTCTTGACCAGTTACTAAGAGGAAGGCGGGTGGAGAGCTGAAGGTCTGGTTCTGTTGGAGCGGCAGAGTTCGGTTCACAAACGGAGCATGAGGAACATGAACAAATAAATAAAGTTAAAGGTTTATTCATTCAACCAATACAGGTTAGTGCCCATTGAGCCTCGGGGACTCATTTACAAGAGAGACCTGTTTCAATTTAAAACCGTCTTATTCAAATCAGATCATAATGTCTGTAGTTACAAGAAACAAAGTCAAGTTTTAGAGCTGCATGCATTCAGCTGGGACTGCTGCAAAATAAAAAATAAAGATAAATTCATTGTGAAATAATTATTAGATTCTTGTGAAATCTAATAATCTTATTAGATGATTGTGGTTTTGGGTTTGAATGAATCTTTTTATTTTGTCTATAAAATAAAATAAAAACATTTTGCCCTGTAGAATAGCTTTGGTTTCATATTTGAGATGTTCATGTTACTTTAATTTAACGTTACTTTAATTGCTAGAACACTGCTGTTAAAGTGCCTTTTTTAATGTATTGAACATTTTTTATATAAAACGGTACCTTAAAAAGGTTCTAAACATATTTAAATCATAATTTAATTTTGCTCATACAAATGAGATTAATCACAAAAAAATAA